TTGTCTTCATATTCTGCCAGATTAGTAGTTTGAAATCGTCTGAATGATTTAATTTAACCCCATAAAAAAGAACAATCACTCACGAAAGGCCTTAGACAAGAAAAGAGAGAGGACTGGTAATCCGTCAAGCCTGCGTGTTACCAGCTGGCCCAAGACCGTTTAGGCCAGTGGCGTATCACAAAATCATACGTAGTTAAAACGGTAAATGTCTAAATGGTTGATCACCACGCCAAAATTTACGATTTTTTCAGGATATACGTATTTTGGGGCGTAAATTAGGAAATAATCAGTTTATTCGCTCTCAATTAGTTTTTAGGACTTTTTTAAATTAAAATCGAGTATTTAAATGGTCTACGCCACTGGTAGATTCAAAGGATTTGACAGATCGAATTAACAAAATTATTTATTTTTCAATGGAAACATTTAAAATAGCGAATTATATTTAGGCCCGTAATTTGCTTACACACAGTATAATATGATACTTATAGGGCATGTATAAAATCTGTCCCCAAATATAAAAAAGCGCCTGTATAATGATGGTTTTATTATGCATTGTTTATTAATTACCTGTGAAAAGATACTCCCGGCTCCTTTTTCTCGCTACGACTTTTACACTGAAAAGCACAACAATTCACCATGTCTATTAGCACAAAATTTAGTCAAATATTAAAACTTTTTAGTCACAAAATCACAAAATATCAACACTGCCACAGAAGCTTGTTTGCCACAAATAAAATGGCGGCCGGTCAATTGATGTAACAAAACAAAACCCAGCATTGCGTTAAACCAGTGCGCGGTATCCTCTCCCCTCCCTAATCTAAGCGAAAGGCCATACCAAATAATTGACCCACGGGCCAAAGAAAGGTTAAAGCGTCACTGATTGTGTCACACCACAAGTGTCATATAATCCAACACATGTCATATCACCATAATCGAGGTTGGAAACGGAGCCCAGCCATTCCAGCCAATAGATTCTTTCGGACTTCCGCAGGCGCAGGGTATCAGATTAGGGAGGGGAGCAGAGCGATTGAATCGACGAATCGACTGTGCAACCAACTAGCCAATATCGTGAGTGAACTGTGAAGTCGTTGAAAAATTGGAACGATGTTATGATTGGAACACACACGAGACAATCCGCCGGGTCCCTGCAGATCGGTTCCTGTAAATTGGTATGTGAGTAGCCGCCTTAAAAATTCAATTTGTAACTCCTGTTATTGCATTTCATTGCCGTTTGTAGAAAAACATAAAATTAAAAAAGTGGTAAAAATCGTGTGTCCGGAAAGCGTACTAGAACCAAAAACATATTTTACCCCTGGTATGATATTTATGTGAAAGACAGATACCGATATCGTAGTGTCAGTCAGGGAGGAATCGCCCTCAGCCGCTTTCCAGTATGGGAGTGTGACGCCCGGAGCTACTCGGGGTGTTGAGCCCCCGAGCTGTACGTACGCGTCAACCTATCAGCTGTCACATCTATGGGTGGCTATTTATCTATTTATTTCTTGTTATATCTCAAGATTGAACATTTTAAAACATATAGTTTTGATTCTCTTTCATTTTTGATAAATAAAAAAACAAACTAACAGATAATTATTTTTAAAATTTGACATTTTTGACACTAAGGGCGGGTATTATAAAATTGCTTTGACAGTTAACTTGAAGTTAACTTTTTGAATTACATGTAAAGGCTCATAGACTCATCCTCAATCAATTTAGTAGCGAAGTGGCACTTCGGCAAGCAAGCTTGGAAAATGTTGTTTAACGTTGGCATCCTCAATTCAATTCCGTGCTGGCCGTGCTGGCATGCACGTCGACTCCGAAGTGAAGTTTGCAAGCTGCCAGCTTTTTCGATGCGTGCCGACTTATGTCATGCGCAGTACGTTTAAAAATTAATTTAGGTTATCCTTGCGTTCGGTATTTTGCTCGAAGAGCAGAGCGGAGCTGTAATCACGTGACCAGCAAGCGCACAGAGCAGTTAAACGCTGTATCAGAGGGCTCGAAATTTTAATAAACTAACGTGAATGAGCCTACACCGAGTACATTTTTTAAATAAACGAACGGTAAATTTATGCTCGGAGAACTCCGATCAAAATACCGAACGTACGGTTCGTGACCGTACTACACGTAGAGCAGACTGAAAATTGACAGCATTGAGGATGGGTATCAATTTCTCAGCACGCGTGCCAAAGTGCCACTTCGCTAGCAGATTGATTGAGCTTAATTCCAGAAGTTAACTTTAAGTTAACTCTCAAAGTAGTTTTATAATACCCGCCCTAAGACAGGCGTCTCACGCCATGATACTGGAACGGTACAAATCTAGTGCGTGGCGCCCCCGAGGTGCTCTGGAGCGCGCCAGAGCGCGCCAATGTACATACTGGAAAGCGGCTCAGTATGCACATTGGCGCGCTCTAGAGCACCTTGGGGGCGCCACGCACCAGATTTGTACCGTTCCAGTATCATGACGTGAGACGCCTGTCTTAGTGTCAAATATATCAAATTTTAAAAATAATTATCTGTTTGTGCAGTTTGTTTTTTTATTTATCATAAATGAAAGAGAATCAAAACTATATTTTTTAAAATGTTCAATCTTGAGATATAACAAGAAATAAATAAATAAATAGCCACCCACGGATGTGACAGCTGACAGGTTAACGCGTACGTACAGCTCGGGAGCTCAACGCCCCGAGTAGCTTCGGGCGTCACACTCCCATACTGGAAAGCGGCTCAATATGGGAGTGTGACGCTCGGAGCTACTCGGAGCGTTGAGCTCCTGAGGCATAGTTGTATTCCTTTCACACCTAGGAAGAGCTCTGGAACAGCTCCGGGGCGTTACGCGCATTCCTTTCGAAAAGTGTTTGTTGCACCACGCATGTATTCCTTTTAAGTCGGGGGCGACTAACACCGGAGCGAGTAGCCCGAGTGTTCTAAACTCTTGAAAGAAATACAACTTATACGTACGGACAAACGTCACACGTCATGATTCTGGAACGGTACAAATCTAGTGCGTGGCGCTCCCAGGGAGCTCTAGAGCGCGCCAATAGTTGTATTCCTTTCAAGAGTTTAGAACACTAGACCTACTCGTTTTGGTGTTACCCAACCCCGATTTGAAAGGAACAAGATGCGCTGTTTTTCGTGCATCACGGTTTTGTTCGGGCTTGAGCACTTCAGGTGCAACAAACATTTTTTGAAAGGAATAAGCGCGTAACGCCCCGGAGCTGTTCCGGAGCACTTCTTAGATGTGAAAGGAATGGAAAGCAGCTCTCGTCTTGCGTGTCGTGTGTCGTGCTCGTGCTAAGTGCTCGTGCATTGAACACATGACAGAAGTTGAGAAACCATAACCATAACTAGGGTTGACAAACTATCGAAAAAAAAACTATCGATAGTGATATCGATAGAATGGCCTACTCATCGATAGTAACTATCGATTGTACTATCGATAGTTTGCTCTGACCAAAGTAACCAAATTTGTAATTAATTACGATAAACATTAACCTCCAACCTCCATTAGTCCATCAAAGTCACTCGTCATTAGGCAATTCAAACCACGTGACATTCAAGATGGCGTGGCGGCCATACATGGGCCAAAAAACACAAAAAAAGTAGGGAGTGAATTCTGCGCCTACCGGTAGGTGCTGTTTGTTTCATTGATTGTGTGCCTACCGTTTATGTATACCGCGAAAACATTATGGTAGGTCCCCAATTGGCACATGACATGATATAACGCCTATCGGTAGGTACTCTTTGTTGAAAGAATCCTGAGCCTACCGGTAGGTTCATATTAATTCAAGAATCCGTCGCCTACCCTACCTATCTAACCTAACTATACCTGCATTTACAAGAAGGTGACACTCGTCGCCCTAGTTGTGAATGGTCGTAATCCACAAAATGTTCATTCTTGAGTTATTAACACTGTTGTTACTGTTAACATACTTAAAAATGTTTAAAGTTCATGTTGGCGAATAGATCTAAGCCAGTGATCAATATTTGACCTTATTTGAAAATTATTTTCCAAATTTTTGGTGGATTTATGCTTCCGAGGATCTTATCTTTGAAGTTTGGCGAGCGGAGCGAGCAATCAGAGACTTAAAAATGATTAAAATTTCAAGATGTTATATTTAATAAAGGTTTTTCACGTTTTTGGTGGATTTGCGCTCCCAAGGATCCTCTCTTTGAGGTTTGGCGAGAGTAGTGAGCCATCGAAGACTCAAAAACAAACTCAAGGTGTGTGCAGAAAGATTTTCAATATAGAATATAGGTTGCCGTCTAGCGAATGAAGCAGATTCGAAACATCAACAAGTTTAAAGCCCAAATTGGAAAAATGTTAAGATACTAATAAAGGCTTATGTGGACGAATTTCTTAATGACTATACTATTACTAACAAACAATATTTTACCAACGTATTTAGCATTAGCAAGAGCTGACTGGTAGGATATAGGATATACGGATTCTAAAGTAATAAAACACCTTCCAGTAGGCGCTTGATCAATTGACGAAAAAGGACCTACCCTACCAGTAGGCGCACAATCGGTGGATAAAAAAGGACCTACCGGTAGGCGTAGGATTCACTCCCAAAAAATTATCTAGTTTCTGTCCGAATTAATAGTTTAAGTACCTAGTTAACAAATATTTCATTAAATAATGAAAATCATAGTTGTAAGCAAATTTCTATGCAAAATAATTTAAAATACGCATAAAAACATATTCAAAACAAACTTGCTTGGCCGCCACGCCACATTGAATTTTCCTTTTTGACAGATGGATTGAATTGCCTAATTCCTCCTAACCGAAAAATTGGCAGCACAGCATGTCTATCCCCAAAAATAATTACAGATTTCTCAAAAAAACTACAGATTTCTTTATAATTCTCTCAATATACAGATGTTTTCATTTACCTTTGGCTACATTGGAACTATCGATATTGGTACAGGTCTATCGATACTATCGAAAATTGAAAAACTATCGATAGTATCGATATCCCTATCGATAGTTTGTTATCCCTAACCATAACCATAACCCTACTTTAGTGAGTAAAGTTGAGTTCTAATTTTTTCCAAGAGTTATTTTATTTTGTTTATGCAAATTATTTGATTTGGTGAAAATTAAACGAAACCTGAAATCATGGGCCACGTTACTGCCATCGAAACCTTCCTGAATCAACACAAGAACCAACTGCTAGCTTCCGGAGTGCCTGAAATCTTCTGGGAACCTCTCTACAAGAAACTGTTGACCCAAACTTTTGATGCTGGCAAATCCTTTCAGTTGGTACATATCGAATACGATGAGGAAAAGGAGCCCCACGAACCTCTTTGGGGCTTGCAGGCCATCAGAGATTTAGATAAAAAGGACTCCGAAAATATTTATATAATTGATCATGCTTGGACTTATCTAGTACATGAAGCTCGCAGTAATTTACAGTATGATTCCTTGAGATTCCGTATGGCAAGGATTTTGGGACTAGATGAAACATTGCCTAGTGAAGAACTGATAGAAGATATATTCAACAATATGTGGAAAATAAATAACTCTTACAAAATACTAAATATGGAACATACTGATGAAAATCCCATTTGGTATATTATGGATGAAATTGGTTCTGCTTTGCAACATAGTGATACACCTAATTGCAGAATAGTACCATTTGCTTATATAAATGATGGAATATATTCTTTGTTGTTTCTACATGAAAATATGGAAGAAGGAGACTTGGCTTATAGAGATTTTGCTGAAGGTGTTAAAGATCCTAGGGCTCGGAAAGCTGCCTTATTACCTTGGGTGCCTAATTCATTTGAAGAAATGGATATCAAACCACAAATACCTGGGGAAGATTACTTTTTGAGTGGTCATATTCCCGAAATGCTACCCAATTTGGATAAGTTAACTATTAAAGCTCCAAAAAAAGATAAATATTTATGTTATGCTCAATATAGTTTAGTAAAAAAGTATTTAACAGATCCTACATTTGAAATTACTGATGAAGAAGATGAAGCAGATATTTTATGGTACTCTGAGCATTTTAGAGATTTCAAAAAACTAAGTGAGTCATCTACGAAATTTATTAATCAATTTCCCTATGAATATGTTCTTACTGTGAAAGATTTATTATGCATGACTTGTAGAAGATACAAAAACAATACAGAAAATCCTGTTTGGTTTCCAATAACTTACAATTTAGTTGAAGAAATTGGCAATTTTGTAAAATATTTCAAAACATGTGACGAAACTGATAATTACTGGATAATAAAGCCTTATAATTTAGCTAGAGGTATGGATATGCACATTACAAACAACTTAGATTATATAATGAGATTGCCAGCTACAGGACCAAAAATTGCTCAAAAGTATTTAACAAATCCTGTTTTATTTCGTAGATCCGATTGTGAAGGAAAAGTTAAATTTGATCTAAGATACATTATTTTGTTGAAAACTGTAAAACCCCTAGAAGTTTTTGTGTATAAAAATTTCTTTTTAAGATTTGCCAATAAGCCTTTTGATTTGTCTCATTTTGATGATTATGAAAAGCATTTTACAGTTATGAATTACACAGAAGATGCTGTTCTGAAGCATTTGAAATGTGAGGATTTTAAAATTGAGTGGCAGCAGCAATATGCTAATTTTAATTGGAACGAAGTCGAACAAAAAATATTGACAATGATTCGAGAAATTATGGAATGTGCCACAATGGTGCCTCAACCTTGTGGAATAGCAGAAAATCCACAATCTAGAGCTTTATATGCAGCGGATTTAATGCTGGATTGGGTTAAGGGCGGAATAGAACCAAAAATATTGGAAATTAATTTTATGCCCGACTGTGAAAGGGCTTGCAATTATTATCCAGATTTTTATAATGATATTTTCAAATTGTTGTTCTTAAACGAAGAAAATGAAGTATTTTTTAAGCTTCAGTAAAATTTATACAATAATGTGCGTTTATACGAATCAAATAAATTAGGGATAAATGACAGAAACAAAAAATTGTTTTAGTTTAAAAAAAAAAACACCTGTAAAGCACCTATGAAATAGCTCCAACTTTTACTGGACAATGAAGGATATACAGGGTGTATATTTTAACACGTTAATCGCAATGACACCCTACATTTGGGTTAGCTAGTGGTCAACCAGATTCTGAAACCTGTACGTAGGGTGTCACCATGCGCGTACACTTTAAAGCCTGTGACCCGGCTCTTGGGCTTCAAATAACATTGCAATATATGGAGTTTTTCTCAGAGGGGCCTGGGGGACCCTACTAACGTTTGAGCCTAGGATTTTTTGTAATTTTTTTCTGTAGAACGTAGAACCACATTTTATTGATTGTAGGTAAAGGCATGGATTACCAGAACAAAATTATTTATCTATGATAAACCAAAATAACGTATAAACTAAATGATTACTCTATATATTTGTCACAGTCAAAAAACAGGACAGACAATAGAAAAATTTACACTGTATGTAAGAAAATCTTGACTCTGTTCCTTTGCTTTGAGCTACTTTAATGCCTTGTTCAGCACTCAATCTTTCGTAGCAGGACACACATTTGCTACTATCTAATATTCATGCACGTAGTAAACAAGCTTAGGCTTGTATCTTTGAACACCGCTAGTTGGGTTTCGGGGCTCACACCTAGAAGGGGCCCCGAAACCCAAAAGCCGGGTTTCATTTTCAAAGTAATATTTTTGGTTGTTTTTAGGTAACATGTGGAAAAAAATACAAATATATGGGATTATTGTGTATTATTCATCAATTGAAGAAATAATTTTATCTGGGCCTGTCAAAACTTTTTTTTAGCTTCCATTACGGCGATTAACGTGTTAAGTGATACCACCATTGCTATATCCGAAACAGTGAGAGCTACTGTCCGCCCAAGTTAAGAACACCAGTTAAAAAAATTAGAAGAATTTGGGTACAGGGTGGTCATTTTATCTTGATTACATTTTAAACTGTCATAATTTCTTTATTTTTGAAGTTATTTGAATAAATAAAAAAACATACTGTATGGTTGTTTTCCAAGTTTCAGATAGGATGGACAAAAAACAAAAGACTACCTAATATATTTTGACAGTAAATTTTAAGTAGGTATGTTTGTTATTATGTTTCATTCTGATTGCAATATATACAATACAATACAATTGAATACAATTCACTCTATATTTACATGCAGAAATGTTTTATTTATTCTAACTGAAAATATTGATTACCTGCAAAGGTAGGTAGGTAGACAGAATTTTCTATTAGAATCAATAAAACACTTCTGCATGTAAATATAGAGTAAATTTTATTCAAGTGCATTATATTGAATACTAGCTGCCCCGGCGAACTTCGTTCCTCCTCTGAATTATTCCTATTAAATGTTGTGTTAACGTATCTAAAGTGCGTTTTTTTTTTAAGATAAAAGTCAAAATGACATTATGTTGGCAATACAATGTAAAATTGTCAATGCTTTCAAAATTTTTATGTAGAAAAGGCTTGTGTTAACAACATAGTTACTAAATTTTTGAATTGGGGAATTATCTTTAAAAAAAAAAACAAATTTTATTAACTGAATTAAATTCAGTTTTTTTCGATGGTGAATTTGGCTTTGGTTGAAGAAAATTAATTTTTACTCTCTGGATCAGAATAAGTCACCTAAAATTAAAATTTTACATCGTCCCTTTTTAGGCATCTTATGGGCATTATTCTTATAAAGTCTACCACCAAATAAATAAACTCAGGCACAAGAATGTTCAAAAAATGTAAAGAAAACAAAAAAAAATCTCCAGCGCAGCCCTGTTTCATTTTATCTGCACTGCAATACTCCATCTGTTCTACTGTATCTGCACTATTCTATCTGATCTACTCTTTCTGCACCACTTTATCTGATCGGAATAGTGGAATAGTTCTGTTTGGAATAGCTCCAGTTCCTTAGCAGTATTCTGTTCTGCTGTATCTGCAATGAAATTACCGCACAACGGCGAGCTTCGTTCTAGGTAACTATCATATAATGGCGCCGTATACAAAATGGTTGTGGCGGACTCATAACCTGGCTCTCTGCCACTCGACACCAGCTGGACGGAGCACTCCGAACAGTCGCCACGGAACACGGCTGTCAAGGGATGCCTAAAGCTACATCCTCAATCAATCTGGTAGCGAAGTGGCACTTTGGCACGCGTGCTGGAAAATTTATACCCATCCTCAATGCTGTCAATTTTCAGTCTGCTGTGCGTGTAGTACGTTCACATACCGTGCATTCGGTATTTTGATCTGAGTTCTCTGAGCATGAATTTACCGTTCGTTTATTCAAAAAGTGTACTCGGTACTCGGTGCAGGCTCATTCGCGTTTGTTTAATAAAATTTCGAGCCCTGTGATACAGCGTTTAACTGCTCTGTGCGCTCGCTGTTCACGTGATTACGGCTCCGCTCTGCTCTTTGAGCAAAATACTGAACGCAAGGATAACCTAAATTATTTTTTACTGTACTGCGCACTGCGCATGACATAAGTCGGCACGCATTGAAAAAGCTGGCAGCTTGCAACCTTCACTTCAGAGTCGACGTGCATGCCAGCACGGAATTGAATTGAGGATGCCAACGTTAAACATTTCCCTAGCTTGCGTGCCGAAGTGCCACTTCGCTACTAAATTGATTGAGGATGAGCCTTAAGAGGAGAAACGGAACTTAGCCACAGAACGTCAATGGTCAAGCGTCAAGAAATGACAGGTAGACCAGTTCGCGCTCTTTCGGAATGAACGAACCAACAACAAAATAAAATACACAATTAAAACATTGTCATTCTATTTATTTTTGAACATTTTTACTGTGAAGAACAATTAAAAATAGTTCTTTCCTCAAATTGTTTTTGTGCAAAGTGTGTGACAATAAAATCCACATGGTTTGCAATGAAAATGTGACGGTAAACTTGGTATCGGTTATAAGAGATGGCGCCGTATGCGGGCTTAGTGAGTTTTTTTCATAGATAAGTAAAATAGATATTTTTTTTATTTGTTTTTTTTTTTTTTTTTTTTCGATTTATTATCGTAGGATGGACAAAGACAAATCCAATAAAGCAAAAATCATGAAAATCAGTCCAGCCGTTCTCGAGTTATAAGTGCTCAACACCAACACAACTGTGTGTTTTATATATATAGATATTGCAATCAGAATGAAATATATTACCAAACAATTTTTTAAAATTTACTGGGTGTTCCATTCAAAAAATGCTATTTGTGTGCATATAACTGTCAAAATATATTAGTCTTTTGTTTTTCGTCCATCCTATCTTACAGCCAGTTTCATAATCAAACTTTAAAATGTACTTTAACTAAAGATAAAGTTTCACTTCAAGTCCACTTTAAAGAGATCTAAAGTTGAGGTGTTTCATAATCAGATCCATCTGAACTTTTAACTAAAGTATAATCGATACCATAGCCACTACCGAAAATTGACAGAAAAGCAAAATTCCACAATTTTTAAGGTTAGGTTTATAGTAAAGGGGCTAGGACAGTTCTACAGCAAAATCAGTCATTTTCCCATGTAAATCTCCATAAGAAAATCTAAGGTCCGTTCTGGCAATTTTTGTACCGTTCAAGGTCATCCGTCCAGCCCGCCAGCAGTCGTTGCCGCTAAGCCCCGCCCCCTTTTCAGTGCCCATGTCTTTCATCGGTCGCACTAACTGGTCAGCCGCCGCTGCGTTCGGGGTCATTGACCGTACTTGGCTCCAAGCGGCTCATCGAACACACATAGCAGCTCGTGACTTGGTACCTCATTCAAGGTGCATTGTACTGATGATGACGTAACTAATAATAAAACGTCGTTTCGCCATCGGGTCTGATGATGACGTAACTAATAATAAAAATGTTGTTTAGCCATCGGGTTTGATGATGACGTCACTAAAAATAAAAACGTCGTTTCGCCATCGGGTCGTCAACATTTATTGCAACCGCAGCGAAACCATAACTTGTAACTTTCCTGTGACCTGCGATAAACAAGCTCTGACTAGTCTGTAGCCAATCACCAGCTTCGTATCCACCTGCACACTCCAGCGAACTTTTCCTAGAAATATGGGCCATCGTTTCAATTTTACTGTTGCTTATTACGTTGGCATCCTGCGATAAGCAAGTCCTAACAAGTCTCTAACCAATCAGAAAGCTGAGGTCTCTCGTCTCAAAATAAGAAACCAGCGACAACATTATTTTATTTACATCATATTGATACAACGTTTTAGCCCGTATTCGGATCAAAATCGCCGCTAGTTCGAGTGACTTTTATTGTCAACATGACTTAGACCCATGACTCATTTATACAAATATTTCTCTACAAAAATAATTCCGTCTCAAGTTTTCCTCATAAGGAGTTTCCTGGTATTTTTGCTTCAAATATTCATTACCTATCATCAATATATTGCTAAATTATATTAACACGTTCACCAACAAAAACAAAAATAAGGCAAACGCGTCGCATAGGAAATTACACTGCTTGAGCCGTCCAGCCGCAATACTAATAAACTATTTTCATTCAGAGTAAACAATTAAACCTGCGACAATGATAAGAGCAGGCGTTACGTCATAGACATATATGTGAATATTTTCATCAGTGCAGTATCAGTTGACTAAAAATGGTATAGTAGTAATGAGGGGACCTGAGCCTGGGAAAATTTTCGATACCGTGGGAAAATCTATAGATCGGCGGCGCCTTTGATCTGCAATTACTGGGATTTGACCCGGGGCCAACCCCAAATTTTTCGACGTCATTATGTTATCGGTGGCGCCATCTAGCGTACATAGTCTGAAGTTCGTTGTGTCCTTTTACAGGATGCCGTAGTGGCAAATAAAATAAATTCATAAATCAGCACGCCGCCGACGTTCAATGTCGTTGTGTTGTAAACAGGGGTATCATATTTCACGGTTATTTTTACTTATAACTGATAAGCCTTTCCGTTCTAGCAAAAACAACAAGCTCAAACTTGCATTTATATTTTATCGATGATAAACATGCATGGATA